GTTGTCTGAGGACGAAGTTAGGGTTTACACCAGGCATATTGTTGAGGGTCTTCGCTACATTCACAGTCGAGGAACCGTCCACCGCGACATTAAGCCAGGAAATATCTTGTTGGGTTTTGGGAGAGAAAAGAAAGGACGGTTTGTAGCCAAAATATTTTGGAACAGCGGTTGGTACGTACGGCTCGTTGGAGGTGCCTGGCCGCGCCGGCCTTGTTGAAAGTTCGCCGGAGATGGTTACGGAAAAGAAATTGTGTCGCCGGCGACATATGGGGACTTGGTTGTGTTGTGGTGGAGATGATCAGTGGGGAAAAAGTATGGAGTGATGGGGAAGATGGTGGAAAGATGAATCTGGGACAGCTGAAGAAGAAGGTAGGGTTTAGCTCTTCGATGCTGGAAGAACCCATGAACATGTATGAAACGGGGAAGGATTTTCTGAGCAAGTGTCTGGTTAGGAGTGTGGACGGTAGATGATCTGCTGAAGAGCTTCTTCAACACATTTTTCCTTAATGTGGATTTCTTGCGATCAGCATATTATCAAATGAAGCAGGGGATGAAGATTTTGAAGTTTCTTTTTTTTTTTTTTTTCCAGTGAAGGAGATGAAGTACAGTCTCTGACCATCGTTTTTTAAAAAAATTCTAATTGATAATATTGTGTTCATATATATACCAGATTATATATAATTCGTTTTAGTTTTCTTTGATGTAAGCTCTGATCTTTATTCAATGAATATACAAGGAAAATTTACTTTTGGTTGGTTGCTTCCATTTCTGCTTACTGCTGGCTTCAAGCAGTCAGTCGACAGCCTCCAGAATAAAACATTTGTAGGTATAGCTTTTCTTTTTCTCCTCAGATTATAATTTACCTGTTTCCAATTTGATCAGAACTGAATCAGGTCAAGCACCATTACAAGAGGATCCAAAGGGAATACTATTAACTTCATATAGAAATATATAATTCCCATTTCGTGAAACAAAAGTTCACATTCTCCCAACAGTTTTTTTCTAAAGAGCATTCGTCCACATCCCGTGCATTGTGCTCTCAGATGAAATCCATAAGAATCCCATTAAGAAGAACATTAACATTTGAAGTGCATAAAATTGTAAAAGTTAAAAGGTTTCTTTTTTCAAAACATTAGTCTCCATATCCACATCCTACTCATGTACAAGCGGACATCTCAATAACCTCAAAACAGGATCTCTATGAAGCACTAACCATTTCACACGCTGTTCAACATGTCATGGCCTCCAACTCTGCCCACCAGTGGGTTGGACGGGGAGGTTGACGTGATCAAAAGGCTTGGGAGGCAGAGCCGAATGAGGGCCAGAACTATGACT